TTATCATACCCCCCCCCCCCCCTTTCACAATATAGTCACTAACCTTTTATGTATAATACAGTCCGTTCATCCTATTAACTTAATTAATTTTTAAAACACATTACTCTAACTTTAAATTGACCATGGCCCAGTCTCCACCGTCGCTACACATAGGGGACACAACACATAGGACAAGAGAGTGGAACATAAGAAGTAAAACAGTATTCTCAGTGGAGAGCATTAATGACAAAAAAATTCAGGAAACAACATTTTGCAAACTACAGCATCTACTGGCCACAGAAACCCACCTTTGGTGGGACATAGCCTCTTTTGAAGAATACTTAAAGGAGAAGAGGATCCCTAGGGGTCTAAGAATTAAGAAGATTGTCTCCTTTCAAATTGAAGATGACAATTATAGAATTAGGTGGATTCAGGTCTTGGATGAGGCTTCATTCAAATTGATGGGACTTTTAGTGGAACACAAGAGACAATGCCTTGAATCCCTTACCAATGACATTACACAGTGTCAACAGAATCTAGGGAAATTTAGCAACCAGACTTTCAAATGAGGGAAAACAAAAATTATAAAGTTTTTGAATAACTTGGAAGAAGATATTATGAAAATTAAAAGATCAAAATTCCTAAGGGATAAGTCAGATTATGAGGCACAGTTTATAAATGGATCAATCCAGAAATGCAGAACAGATCTGTCATATGAAGCAGACATAAACACTACATCCTTAGAACTGCCTCCACGCCCGTTGCCATTCCCAAAAGGGTTGTTTTTTCGGAAACTGAAAGTGAAATCACTGGAGACTCTTCATCCTCATCTGCTCCAAGGATAGACAGAAAAAACTGAAGGACACCTTCTCAGAGGACAGTGAGTCCCCCCAGTCAAAAAAGCAATACCAACAGGGGGAAAAAAACGATCACAAAAAAGAAAAGAATGAAAAGGAAGAAGAAACAATTGGACAATAACAAGCCATATCCCCTTTCAAACAACTTGGTTGTGAATTACTCAGATTATGTTCTATCAGCAGAGGAACAGTCTGTGCTGTCAAAAGGTTTGAATTTTGCACCTTCACAGGATTTTGATCTGTTCTCTTCTCTTATAAATGTGAATAATTTTGCAAGGCGTCTTACTCTAAAAAAGCATTTCTTACACACAGAAACACAAGTTTTGTCACACACTCAACCACGTCCAGGGATAGACTGTAATGAATTTGATTTTCAGGACTTCTGTCTCATACATGACATGAGCTCCTTGGACTCTGATGGTTATTCAGGGATTCGAATCACAGACAAACTTGAGACTCCTAAACATCTGGATATCACATTGATACAATGATCTGATTTCTATCCAGTTCACTCATAGAGTGAGAACATGGATCTCTTTCAGAGACTTGTTGAAAAAGAGTTTTTCTCTAGCACAACAGATCAAAAGTTCCACAAGATATGAGAAATCCAACCGAAATTGAAAACAAAGAATTATCCTTCAAACTCTGAGATATAATTCAAGAATTGTAATTAACAAAGCAGACAAAGGGGGGCACTGGTTGTATTGAACTCCGCAGATTATCATCAAGACGTGTTATGCCAATTATTGGATAAACACACATATGAACCTCTCAGCATGGATCCCACCCTTCTGTATAGACAAAAATTGGATAGAATCATCTCCTAGATTGTAAGCTCTAATAAGCAGGGCCCTCTGGTTCCTCTTGTACCAAATTGTATTGTAACTGTAATGTCTACCTTCATTTTGTAAAGTGCTGCACAAACCTTTGGAGCTATATAAATCCTGTATAATAATAATATAAGAAGCGATCAGTTTGGATCTCCTCAAGCCAGGTGAGGCAAAAAAACTTGTATCCGAGTACCCACTGATACCTATTTTCCACCATCTGCCCAAAGTACATAAAATGGAGATAACCCTGCAGGAAAGACCAATTGTAGCAAGCATTGGCTCACTTGGAAAACCACTGGGGAACCTCATGGATAGCCTGCTTCAACCTCTAGTGACCCTATTACCATCTTATATATGGGATACAAAGCATATTATCCAGATACTTGAAGATTTTCCTTGGACTAAAAATTTGAAGCGACTCACCTGTGATCGTTATACTCTTGTATACCAAACAATCTAGGCCTTCGAGCCCTGAAACATCATATGGTTTTATACACTAATTATAATCAGGAGATGAAGAGGTTTAATTTGGAAAGTACCTCATTCTTGTTGAAGCATAATTTCTTTTTGTTTGATCAGATGTTTTACCTACAAAAACAAGGTGCCTGAGAGAGAGCCAGATTTGCACCCACGTATGCTAACCTTTACATGGGTGACTGGGAAGAACAGTTCATCTACAATGCATCTAATCCTTACAGACAGCTTATTAAGGCATACTATCGCTACATAGATGACCTGATCTTCATAGTGGATAAGATGACCTGATCTTCATAGTGGATAAAAAGGTATCACAAAATTTCTTTCGTACTTGAACATGAATACTTGGAATCTCTGCTTTACTGGAGAACAACAATTAACATCTATCATTTACCTTGATGTCACTCTATCGGGATCCTCATAATCAAATTAATTTAGTCACAACGGTCAAAAAGCCCACATCAAAAAACTCTATACTTCATGCTTCCAGTTGTCATCCGAAATATGTTATCAATGCGATTCCGAAAGGACAGTTTATCTGCACTAGAAGGAACTGTTCCCTTATGAAGGACTTTGAAAGTCATGCTAAGGAAATGGAAGATATATTTCTACAACGTGGCTATAACAAACATTTGATTTCAGATGCTCACTAAACTGCAAAGGATACACCTCGACAAAATCTATTTGACATCAAACAGATCCAAAGCAGAAAAGGGAAGAGGAAGGAAACAAGGTGGGGGCCTGTGGCTTTTTCAACACAGTACAGTAACCAATATCAAAATATTAACCGTATTATATCCCAGTATTTGTCCATCTTATATGGGGATCCAGACTACAAGAAAATACTTACCAACAATGTGAAATTTGTAGCCAGAAGAGCCAAAACAATAGGCAATATGGTTTCACCAAGCCTGTTTTCTCTCAAAACAGCTGGAACATGCATGGGTACGCACAACAGGTTTCTTTAAGTGCAACACCTCACATTGTTCCAGCTGTCGTTTTAGTGGGTGATCCCCACACGGTCATGCACCAATGGCAAAATCGACAGCATTAGGGTCGAACAACTGGATGCCTATGTGACAGAATGCAAGATCATTTATCGAACATAAAAGCAAATAAAGAAACTAATGTATCCAGATATTTCAGAGTACATCATAATTCAGATACACATTCTCTTAGAATATAGGTCATAGTAGATCCACACATTAGAGAAGGAAATTGTTTTTCTTGTCTCTGTAAGAGAGAAGTAGTATGGATTTTCAGACTTGAGACCTGGATACCCAAAGGACTAAACTTTGAATGGGATATTACCCACTACTATAAATAACTGAATGTTTACCCACTGATAACCTCCCATACAACTTCTTTCCTCCTCCTTGTATACTCTCATAAAGAAGATAAATTACAGTGATGCTGTTTATAATAAATTGAGTCCCTCCTATTAGAGTGATTTCTTGTTATTGTTCTTTCTCTCTTTGTCCGATGTGATGACCCTGAAGTAGGACAACAGTTTTTTTCTATCCAAATATTTAAAAAATTTGTATTTTTCATTTACGTTATTAATTTTCCTGTTTCCATTTCCCCAGAACAATAATTGCTGTTGTTGATGTTTTCTACTTTTTGTTCGTATTTTTTCGTTTTTTCACGCTTTTTATATTCTTTGCACATATGGCATTTTTGATTATTTATCACTTTTTATATTTTCCCACATTTCTGGACATTTTTACACATTCTTTTACATTTCATATATCCTTCATTTCTCATTCACTATTTTCTTTTTCCTTTTTTCTCATTAGCTTTTATTATTTCATTAATTATTTCATTTTAAAGTTATTAATTAACTGCCAGGGTGCTTATGAGCTGCCACTGACAGTCTCCAGGAGCCTGATTTTGCACCTGCAATCTGTTGATCACATGTGCAAATCTTTGCAGACACCTATTAAAAATGCACTTTTTTTTACCTGCATAGAGTGCATTTTTTTTTTTTTAGTAAATTTATCTTTTAAAACTCTTCCTCACTCTGTCCAACATTACAAAATATATAAATATATCTGGACCTTCGGGACTAACTTTAATGGCAGGGTACAACACTGCTTTTCTTGAAAATTCAAAATAGTTAACAAAAGATCAAATTCAAAATTCAATATATAAAATTCAAAGTATCGAAATGTGTACTTTTTTTGTAGAGTATAAATCCAAGGAATGATATGTCAGTGTTGATTAACTATGTTAATTGCAAGAATATTTGTAACATTAGTTACAGATCTTTCCTTAACCACTTGCCTACCAGGCACTTATACCCCCTTATTTACCAGGCCAATTTTCAGCTTTCAGCGCTGCCGCACTTTGATTGACAATTGCGCCGTCATGCAACATTGTACCCATAGGAAATTTTGATCATTTTTTTCTCACAAATAGAGCTTTCTTTTGGTGGTATTTAATCGCCACTGGGCGCTTTACTTTTTGCGCTATTAAAAAAAAATGCAAAAAATTTGAAAAAAAATAAAAAGTTTCTTTGTTTCTATTATAAAATTTTTCAAAGAGGTATTTTTTCTCCTTCACTGATGTGCGTTGATGAGGCTGAGCACTGATAGGGCACTGATAGATAGGCGGCACTGATGGGCACTGATAGGCAGCACTAATGAGGTGGCACGGATAGGCGGCACTAATATGCAGCACTGATAGGCGACACTGATGATGGGTACTGATAGACGGCACTGACTGGCATCACTGCTGGGCACTGACTGGCGGCACTGACTGGCACAACCCCTGGGCACTGACTGGTGGCACTGACTGGCAGCACTGCTGGGCTGCACTGGTGGGTGGGCACACTGGTGGGTGGGCACAGGTGGGTGGGCACAGGTGGGCACAGGTGGGTGGGCACAGGTGGGTGGCACTGGTGGGCACAGGTGTGTGACACTGCAGAGTGGCACAGGTGGGTGCACTGCAGAGTGGCACAGGTGGGTGCACTGCTGGGCACAGGTGGGTGCACTGCTGGGCACAGGTGGGCAGAGCTAGTGGGCGCACTGCTGGGCACAGGTGGGCGGAACTTGTGGGTGGCACTGCTGGGCACGATCATCAGGGCACTGATCATCAGTGCCCTGATGATCGGTGCCGATCCCCGCTCTGACAACTGCCGGTTCTCGGCAGTACTTTCCTCACGATCTGACAGCATGAGGAAAGTGCAGCCGAGAACCGGAACTTGCATTTCCCTCTGATCAGCGTGTCATTGGACACCGCTGATCACGTGGTAAAAGGCCGCTGTGATTGGCCTTTTACCACATCACGTGATCAGCTGTGTCCGTATGACACAGCGATCACGGAGATCGCCGGGTGCGTGCCCCCTGGGGCGCGCAGGAGAGCGCGTTCTGGGAGGACGTCATATGACGTCCACTCAGAACTGGCCGGCCGCAGTGCAGCCGTCATTCGGCTATCTGCGGTCGGCAGGTAGTTAATTGCATCTTCTCCCTATATACCGATGCAGGTCATGTTGGCACTTTCAAAAATATAAATAGAATTTAAATAGGGAAAGCCCCTGTATCTCATTATGAATAACAGATCCTTTGAACGTTTCTCAAGAAAAGTAAAAAAAAAAAAAGAAAACGTATCTACTGTACAATAGATCGGTCTCCCAACTCAAGGAATCAGAGCAAGGTTAGGCATGACTTCCCTGCTCCTCATTCTCTAGATAGATACTGCAGCTCTCTAATTTCATTGATAACCAACATAAAACTACTCCCATCCATCTTCAGGTACTTCCCCCACTATCTCGAAAGCTTAGTAGGCTGTGTGTGATCAAGTTATGCAGGTGCTGACCAGTGTTTAAGAATACTAGTTTATCTTAAAAACGGAAAGCACAAGGGAAGCCTTGGTATTTATTACGCTAATACAGTCAGGACCAGGCTGTATACCAATATAAAATATGTTTTTTTCTGTGTTTTTTTTTTTAAATAACTGAATACTCTGTGCTATTAGCAAGCTGGAGGACTGCACTGCTAGTCTCACATATATTGCATTGGCCCAGGTCTCCAGTGGTTAAAAATGCCTACTTGACAGCTCCAATCAGCATTGTTGCTCAGGTGGTGTGTTGCACTGTGGATGATCCATGCTGCTGCCCTATGGTGGTGTATGTGAGAGCAGTACTGTGGACAGGGTAATCTTTTTGGTAAACTGCAACTATGTAGGAAACACTGCATAACGTTTTAGATTTTCACACAACATCTGAGTATGGCTTCATCCTCTTTTACAATGATAAAAAATCAGCAAAGATCCTAAGAATTTTGATCAGTGTGTGGCTACCCCTACTTGACAAAAGTGAGGATAACATTCATAACATTAAAACAATGGATTTTTAGATGACTGGGTTGAAGTACTGTAAGCATGGTTACTTCTAGGCAGAATATTATCTACACTATCAGTGCAAGGAAAAAAAGATAAAAGGGTTAACTGGTTGTTTTTAGTGATTTTATTAACTTAATTTTAAAATATTTTAAACATACCCTGCTTTTTCATAAGACCAGAGTTCAGCTTTAAAAATATCTCTATCTTATTATATTAAAAAGGAAAGCAGAATTTGTTTTTAGAAGCAAATAATTATTTTGACAACCAAGTGGTCCTTGAGGCATGAATTGGTCTTTAAATAAAAGGAGGATGGATGCAGAATCTGCAGAGTAAGATACATACAAAAGAATATGGCTCTGAGATAATTCATTTTCATTACAGAGTACAGCATTGTTCATGTACAGCCTATGTGTCATGTGTGATTCTTTATTCTGGGGATCAAAGCAGGGCATTCGCAGTCTGTGTTCTCAGGCAACACAATGGGCCTAATTTATTCAAGAAAAAATGGTGCCAACCTGTAGCTGTCATTTTTTCATCAGAATGAAAATAATGATGAAAGCTGAAATCTGACTGGTTACAATATTCACTTTTCTTTACTTCATGTTTTATAAAGATTTACTGCTGAGCTCCATTATTCTCAAAGTCACTGCATCAACCTTTTTGCATAGTTGCCAAATGTAAATTTTTTTTTTGGAGAACAATCCCTCCCAATTATTGTTCAATGGAATGTCCTGCCATTGCAGTCTTTCTATTTTTTAATTTTTTTAACAAACTATTTTTTGAAGCATAGCTATAAATTCAGTACGAAGTATCATGCCAATGTACAAAAGAGAAAATTGTATCAGAAGCATGAATACAAATCCATTATAAAAGGGAAAAAAACTATTTAGAAGCCCAATGTGAGTACCCAGAACATCAAGATGGTCATTGCAACTTATCAAACATATAGGTTACCAAAGAAGTGCCAAAAGGCACTTATAAAATAGACTGTAATATAATAGACATGTACAGAGAGGATAAAAATCAGATATAAGGTAAAAGCTTCTGATGGTCGGTAGTCCAAGTGTCCATTGTAAGAGAGAACAGGCGCATCCTATCTTGTAAAGTATAGAGGATCCTTTCCATTAACATGATAGCATCAGTTATGTCCAGAACCAAAGACAAGAGGACCACTGAAGATTTCTAGAAAATACAACCAAAAATTAAGTAACCCTAGACAGCCAGCAGACTGAGGTTTATAAAGGACATGTTTCAAAAATGTGGGGTGAAAATCTTGGGCCTGCCAAAAAAACATATTAACGTCCCTTTGAAAGTGTTCAATAAAGATTTTGGGATAATAATAGTTTGGGCTAAACTGTGACCCTACCTAAAATGTAAATCAGAAAGGAGCTTCAAACCTTGAGGAAATTTAAGATCCAGGACACACATGGAGGATAATTAGCTGCAAAGATAGAAGAGATATTAGGAGTGGAATAAATCCCAAGATATGCAATTTTACCATAAGACCAGTGAAATGGAAAGGATCCCTGAAAAGCTCCACACTGGGTCAGAAGGTATGTTAAACAGGTAGAGTAATAGATTTAGTGATATTAACTGAAAGACCTGACAATGAAGTGAAACTAGCCAGTACTGTGAATAAATGAGGTAAAAATACATGTAACTGTGTCATAAAAAGCATGACATCATCCGCGTACATGCATAACCTAAACTGAGAGACCCTGGTGGGCAGTCTTTATAATTTTTAAAAGTTCTGTGAACTCATGTTTTCCCCCAGTGCATGTCAGACTCTTTCTCCCACTCCTCCTCCATCCTTAGTTTTACACCTGAGCCCATATGCACCAAAACTGACAATCTACTTTTCTGAGCACCAGATCAACAGCTACTTTTATTTGCCTGAACACAAAGTTAAAGCTTTATTTGCAGACCATGAGCAGGAACTTTTAATGTTTGCAGTGCTGATTGTTGTGTGTACACACTGACAATGAGACCGTATGCAGTAGAGGTTAGCAAGGATGCAGTAAAGGAAGTAAGATCAGGGAAATCTTTGTACAGATACTGTAAATCTGTCACTTCCAGTCTGAATATGGATTGTTAGAGTGCAACTCCAAAGCATAGATGTATAGAACAATACTATTATTTCATTATACTGTGTATGGGTAATCAAGTAAACTATGTAGCTTTCACAAAACATTTATAACAAACAGGAACAACAAAATATCAACTGCACTCACAAAAAATATTTTTAAAATACATATAGTTACCAGATAAATAAAACATATATCATAGTATCATAACTATATTAAAATGTTATCTTGCATTATTTAACAGATCACTTTGTTGTTGCATTTCACCCATCATGGCCGGATCTAGGGGGGGTGATGAGGTGGGCTGTGCCCCCCACCCCAGATATTAGTTATTCCTCTCCAGGAGCTGGGGCAGCCCATCAGATCAGCAGTGTGACTCAGAGGCTATGAGTATTATTAGTAACGGCACCTGCCCTTATCTCCTGTGAGGTGATCAAGGTCTCAATGCGGCAACTTTGTTTTTGCTTTGCACAAAGACACTGCAGTCAGATAAGAAGGCAATAAGCAATGCAGAGTCTAGGTAACTCGTGGCCATCTTCTTGTCACAATCAGTGGGTAAGTCCACCTGAGACTGTAACTCAAGATCTAGTGGGCCAGTGTAAATAATTGAACAAGTGCACCTGGGTACCGATCCTCTCAGGTGCAGGAGCAGTGTGAAAGCACATAAATGGTGGTGTGTCATAGTTACAGGATCTAAAAAGCCATCTGGTCTTCACCAGAGCCACTGGAAGTGTGGATGTTGTGCTGCATGGCAGCCCCCAAGTTGTGGCTCTCCAACACATTCGTGCAGACAGTGCAACTAAATGAAAGGACAGGGGGTACACACAGAAAACAAAGAAGCAAAGCAACCAACTGCAGCAAGCTAGGAAGGGATTGCAGGAAACAACAATAATCAATGCTGAGAAGGACACACACAGCTACAGGGAAGGAAGGAAGGAATCCATGGATAGAGAGGGAAGGGAATACAACTGCACAGCCAGGGAGAAAACATTGAGAACAAAGACAGGATCAAACCCACACACATGAGAATACTCAAAAGCCAGTGAACACCAAAGGGGTCCGGCTCCTATGTGAGGAAACATTGCTCGTACACTAACACACAGGTGCAAATGCTGAATAATACCTAGGTTCAGGGCAGATAGGCAAAAACCCAAGAAACTCAGACAGGAGGTAAAACCTGGTGCTGGATCGATGTGCGTGGAAGTATGAGTCTGCTGGGCTCTGGAGTGTCATATGACAGAGCCAATTAGATCTGGGAGGGAGGAATTCCTCAGCCGCACTATATCTGAGGTCTGGTAGGTGTACCAGAGAGTGAGAGTGTAAGAATTCCTGCCTAGATGAAGTGTCTTGTTGGCAGGGAGGGTTGCTTTGGAGGAGGGATGTTCCTTGTGGGGAATTTTACCACGGGATTGCCTCTGGAAGGGGGTTTGCTTTAGTGAAAGGAGGTTCACTTTAGTTGTATGAATCTTTGTGGAAGGAGTGTTTCTTGAGTTAGATAGAAGGTTGCTTTTGGATTGGATATTTGATTACAGCAGAGGGGGGGGGGGGGTGTTTTGCAGTGAGGGATGCTTAGAAGGAGATTTTTGCTGGGGTTGCATCTTTGCTTCGGCGTAAGAGGGAGGAATAATTTACTGGGAAGGGTGGTTGCTTTGAGGTAGAAAATTTTTTGCTGGGTGGAAGGGGGATCTTGCGGGAGTGAGAGATTTTTTCTTTTGATGTGGGAGGGGAGGGTGTCATTTGCTTGAAGGAGGAAGAGGAGTTTGCTGGGAGTGGGATTGCTTAGGGGTAAGAGGAGGAAAGTTTTGCTAAGGCAGATTTTTACTTGCTTAGAAGGGTTGTTTGGCCCTGTGTTTTGCTTTGGGAGGGAAATGTTTCTTGGTTGTAGAGTATTT